ACGTCAGTATTTTGAGTTCTGTGGCTCCTCAGAAGTTTAGAAACTGTATTTTCAGGAATATGAGTGTTGAACGATCAGAATCTGCTCAGAACTTCTTGCTTTTTAACTCTTTGTGGTTCAGTGGAGAAACTCTTCAGTTATTGGCCAAATGGTGGATGATGTTTGAAGATTCGATTCAGAACACATATCAGCAAAAATACACGACCAGAGTTTTAACATCGAGTTAATTTTAGAGCAGATAGTGATGGAAACCTGCTCATGATGCACATTTATACCTGTTTTATAAGCATCCTCAAATACTAGCTAGCTTTGCTTCCAGATGTATTTTTCCCATAGGGGTTTGTAAAAAGTCTGTTAAAGCATTATAAGTCATGAACCAAACCAACCAGCTACGAGGAGAATCACAGCATTGCACACTTTTAATTTTAAGCAAAAAAAGCATTTATAAATCGGACAAGAAGACAAGGCTGTGGAAAACGGCTTGAATGAGGGAAAGAACTACAGTCCCGTGAGGCATTGCGAAGAATAATCGAATTAAAAACGATCGTGAAATATAAAACTATTCATTTAAAGTTGTTGATTATGCTTATAGAAACGGTATATTTTAGGTTTACTGAAAAATATGCACATATATGCATGAAATATGCATATTTTGAGGGCGACTTCCATCATTCGCGGAGTTTCACTGAGTGGGCGGAGCTAATGCGGTTTTTTTTGTGGCGGCTCTCTGATTGGTGGAATTTTCTGCATAAAAATCATCACATAATGGGTGATGTAGTCTTTGCGTATTCACATTTGAGTTATTTCATAGCTAAAGTCGGCATGAAATAGAATTTCACCATGTTTTCTAAATGCATGTTATAGCAAATCATCCGTGCATATGTTTCATTCTTAAAAAGTTTTGACTTTGTAATGTTTAACACAAATGTCAAACCTTTATGCAGGACTTTTTAAAGTGCCACGCCCACATCTCAACATCCAATCAACAAATGATGCATAGAACCAAGTCCCACCCTTTTTTTTTTTACTCAAATCTGTCGCTACTTACATTTCATCACGACTTTAAACATCGAGTCGGTGTCCAAACCTTCCATTGATAGTTTACCATGGTACTGAAATATTACTATATTCCTGACATGGTAGCCTACTTCAAACATACTATGCTATTAGTGTCAAAAACTTATTACCATGGTAAAATGTCTAAAATATAGGGATGGTGCATTTTAAAACGCACATTAAATTATAATAGAATTGTATTACCATGGTAATATCTTAAAAATCGTTTTTAATACCTTCAGTAAGTATGCGCTAGTTTGATATGTGACGTCACTTACCAACGGAGAAAAACGCGGTCGGTTTGTTTCTGTCAGGATTTTGTGCTTATTAGTTACTTTTAGTTATATTTTATCATAATTCAAACTGGAGTCCAGATGTCTCCTCTGTAAAAAAATAATAAAAAACTCTACCAAAGTATAAGTGTGTCATGTTGCCATAAACAACATAAAAACGCAGATTTATGAAATGAGTAACAGGTGTGTGTCAGTGTGTGTCACATGACCAAAGCCGTCCAATGGTTTTCACGGACACTTTCATTACTGTCCTGCAGAGGGCGCTGTTGATATTACAGATTTACTCAACTACTCACACAAAATCTTTACTTGTCACACTGTCTACACTAAAACTACTCAGCCTTTGACTCAGTTTTCAATTTCATAAAACACTTTTTGCGAAACACAACACACAATTCTCTATGCAACACACACAAATCTAACAGGAATTAATCTTGTGGCAAAGGTGTTTGCAAATGTTTGCTTTTGCTTCATTTTGCAAGAGATGTGAGGCATTTTGTATTTGAAAATGTGTGTAAGCAGCTGAAAAAAACTGTAAAACAGATGCTGTGTTGATATAAGTGATCAATATTTATTAATATGATTAACAGATGTCAGACCCTCTAAATGCACAATATTTCACACCAGTGCCAATTTCACAGAAGGCTGCAATCGAAAAATAATTTCCTGTCAAGTTGTTGTTTTTGCATGGTTTAATTATTGTAACGAATGTGTTTAATGCATCATTCTGATTTTTATTCTTGATGTCCATCAGATGTTTTCCGCTCATGGGATTGTATACTAGCTGTACATTAATTTAAATTTGATCAATGCTTATCAATATGTGGTGCAACCACTCTGTTTTATGTCATTTTATGAACAGAGAAGTATGCCAATGACTAGACTTGTTGATAATAAAAACCTCAAACATCGCAATTCTCACGTGTTTTTTTTTTATTTTATTTTTTTTAAAGACGCTACATTTGTAACATTAACAACAAAACTTACTAATGTTGTGAGTTTGTGGCTAGTTGTCACTTTTACTGCCAGTTTTTTTTCCCAGCCTCTCATTGGTCCTCTCGTCTGTCAATCAAAGAGTGGGCGTGTCGGAGCGGGAGCACAACAGGAGCAAACACATCAGATACCTTCGCTTACGGTACGTCAGCGTTTTATAATTAATATAACACAATTTGCGCTCATCTGAGTCTGTTTTAGCCTCGTCCGTGTGAAATACGTATGCAACGTGTAATATGTATGATATGTAATATTTTGGGTTTATTTGTCGGTTTTGTAATTTATTTATTTTTGTGGCTTTTTTGTGTTCTAATGTTATGCATTTAAAGGCAGCTCTGGCAGAACGAGAGAACTGTTTGATATTAATAATATTAGAGCATTCTTATAATAAGAGTATAGGTTTAAACAGGCCTGTTGGGCTAATATTATAATGCAGGTAATATATGATAATATAATGCTAGAGATGGAGGCATAGAGGAAAAGAGAGATGCTGATAGTTATAGAGCCACAAACGTGTGGAAACACCACCCTCATCTTCATCATCCTCCTCTTCCTCCTCCTCTGTGTGTCTGTGTTTGTTTTGAAGGCTGTTCCACAGATTATTGTCTTTATATGTGAGGCTAGAAAACTAAATAATCAGTGTGTTATCGTCCAAAACCAGCTCTGTTGTGCTTAAATTCAACACTGATTAGACAGATAGCACAGAGAAACAGCTGAAGAATAGAGTAGAATAGAATAGAGGAACATGTTGTGTACAGCTATGAAAAACAGTTGCTTAAAATACAGGACTAAACCGGCTAACAAAAATATATTTTTTGTACTCTAAAGCAATATTAAACGCGTTCTGGGTTTTTAACTACCCAGCCAAATTTTAATTATTAAAAACCGCCAAGTAAATAAAGGAAGGTATGAGCAAACACATCAGATACCTTCGCTTACGGTACGTCAGCGTTTTATAATTAATATAACACAATTTGCGCTCATCTGAGTCTGTTTTAGCCTCGTCCGTGTGAAATACGTATGCAACGTGTAATATGTATGATATGTAATATTTTGGGTTTATTTGTCGGTCTTGTAATTTATTTATTTTTGTGGCTTTTTTGTGTTCTAATGTTATGCATTTAAAGGCAGCTCTGGCAGAACGAGAGAACTGTTTGATATTAATAATATTAGAGCATTCTTATAATAAGAGTATAGGTTTAAACAGGCCTGTTGGGCTAATATTATAATGCAGGTAATATATGATAATATAATGCTAGAGATGGAGGCATAGAGGAAAAGAGAGATGCTGATAGTTATAGAGCCACAAACGTGTGGAAACACCACCCTCATCTTCATCATCCTCCTCTTCCTCCTCCTCTGTGTGTCTGTGTTTGTTTTGAAGGCTGTTCCACAGATTATTGTCTTTATATGTGAGGCTAGAAAACTAAATAATCAGTGTGTTATCGTCCAAAACCAGCTCTGTTGTGCTTAAATTCAACACTGATTAGACAGATAGCACAGAGAAACAGCTGAAGAATAGAGTAGAATAGAATAGAGGAACATGTTGTGTACAGCTATGAAAAACAGTTGCTTAAAATACAGGACTAAACCGGCTAACAAAAATATATTTTTTGTACTCTAAAGCAATATTAAACGCGTTCTGGGTTTTTAACTACCCAGCCAAATTTTAATTATTAAAAACCGCCAAGTAAATAAAGGAAGGTATCAAAATCTTGAAAGAATAATCAGACGCTGGGGGCGTGTCCGCCGGCGCCGAAACCACGCCCACTCGCGGGAAGGCTGACGTCTCTCTCAACTAACAAATACAAATACATTTAAATATGGAGACCGAGCTGTTTTGTAAATTAGATTATTGTCTTTATATGTGAGGCTAGAAAACTAAATAATCAGTGTGTTATCGTCCGAAACTTGCTCTGTTGTGCTTGAATTCAACACTGATTAGACGGATAGCACAGAGAAACAGCTGAAGAATAGAGTAGAATAGAATAGAGGAACATGTTGTGTACAGCTATGAAAAACAGTTGCTTACAATACAGGACTAAACCGGCTAACAAAAATATATTTTTTGTACTCTAAAGCAATGTTAAACGCGTTCTGGGATCAGACGCGGGGGGCGTGTCCGCCGCGCCGCCGAAACCACGCCCACTCGCGGGAAAGCTGCCGTCTCTCTCAACTATCAAATACAAATACATTTAAATATGGAGACCGAGCTGTTTTGTAAATTATCGCTACCAGGTAATATGCATTTATGTGATGAAGGCATAGCTAGCTTGAAAACTGTAAGCTGTAATAACTAACGGTAATGACAGTAACTCGCACACCTCTGATGCTAATGCACTCTAGTTATTATAGTGTTAGGGGCGGGGCCATGCTAATTGTACTAATTAATACTAACAATACTAATTTCACAAACATTATGGGAACGTCACTTTTGAACATTCTTTGAAGCAAGTAGTAACATTTTCTTTAAAAAAACGTTGGACGAACATTCAGCTGAAACATTTCGTGCTAACGCTTTGAGAACGTTGTTAAAGATTAGATAACTTCTAGATAGATTAACCTTGCTGGAAAAACGTTTGTTCAGAACATTGAGAGAACCTTGCTGGAACGTTCTGAGGGGCTGTTCACACAGAATGCGTTTTTCCGTTCCAATGT